ACATTTCATTCGCAGAGACCGGAGTGGACAGGGAGTACCCGGAGACACGGGCTGTGTACCAGCAGAGTCCGTATCCAACAACATACAATATGCAGTTTACTTGGCGATTGTGAAGTTTTAACATAAAACATACAACCAATGAAAGCACATGGGGCTTATCATTTAAACCACATAAACACCTACATTTGTTTAATCTCTACACCCCTGAAACAAAAGAGGGGAAAGTGGCGTATTTTAATGACTTTAAGAATAAAATCATTCGATTAAGCTCAGCTACTTTATTTACTTCATACTGTGTGTCTCCTTCCCCCTGCATCTATGCCCCACGACAGAGGGACCCGCCTGCTGTGTTCCCTCTAGTCCTGGCTCTCCAGCCTCTGGGTGAGGGCTGTCCAAAAAGAACTGATTCATGGGTGAGATGGAACGACGGCTGGGCTGGCTGTCAGAGATACGGGTTCTAGTCTCAACACTGCTACCAGCTGCTCTCTGGCACTGGGCTGCCTGTATCATCTTTCTGAGCCTGGATTTCTTCATCTTTGAAATGATGTAACTTGGAGCAGATAAACACTACAGATTGCATCAGTTCTAAAATCCCAGAACATTCCCTATTGGCCAAGATCTCAGAGTTACTTTGTGTTGGATCCTCTCTGAACAAGTGGGAAATGGCTTCTACTCTAGGCTGGAAGCCACTGAATTCTTGACAAGGCCTCCAGGTTCTTCAGGATCAAATAGAACACGCAGAAGTTAATTAAACAATGGCATAGTCGTAGATTTGGAAAGAAACCCAGATATCATTTGGTTCAATCCTTCCTCCTCAATGAAGAAGTAGCTTCTACAAAACCTTCGAGATAAGCCCTTTGCTTGACTATCTCCAGGGACTGGGGAATCACTGTCTGGGGATATTCTGGTTTTGGGGTAGAAAATTCCCTTGGTTATCAAGCCAGAAATGGAGACCTTGTAACTGACACTTGTTAGTCCTGGCTCCTTCCTCCAGAGACACACGGGAGAAGTCTCCTCTCTCTTTCTACATCATTCCGTATCTTCTCCTAATTTCTCTCCTCTAGTTATTAAAGTGAATACTGTTTGCTAAGAGCAGAAGGTAACTGGATGTGCCTAGTATTACGATTCAGGAAGATAGTATTCTAGCTCTAGATCTGCCATTAACTCCTTGTGTGGCCCTGACAAGTAACTTCCGTCTGGGCTGCCGTGGTCATCTTTTCTTCCTAAAATGGAATGATAGAAGGGGTTGGGGGACAAACGTGTCTCAGAGCTTGGGAAGTTGTAAATATGGTTGTCGGAGTGGGGCAGGGCACAGATGTGACTGCTCTGACCCACCATTTGTCACCACTGGAGCAAAAGGATTCAGGGGTTAGCAGTCCACTGAATTCTCCTCAGGCCCACTTGCCAATGTGATGTAATAGCTCTCAATATCCAGCCTAGTGATGCACACTTAAAAAAATCTGTTAAAAATGGCAAAACACTTCTAGGACTCTGGGCCCTAAGAGAGCAAGAAATCTTAGGACAAGAGATTTCGCATGTGTTTTGCAAGGTGTGGAATACAAACCACTCTGTCCTAAGGGATTAATCTCCAGTGTCACAATCATGGAGACATGACTGGGAAAGGACTTGGAAAATACCTTGCAAAAGAATGTTGGCAGCTGGCACGCCTCGTGCAGAGGGAGCTGGTTGAACTTTTATAACCCAGAGGAATTATTGACAGGCACAGAGGTGGAATTTCCTCGGGTGACAGCTTATGTTGAAATGGAGCCAAGGGCTTTGGCACGCTTTGCTCCTGGATGGGACCGGACACTTTTCAGGATGTGAAAAGTGTACCTTTTCACATTCTACTGTAGCTTAGTTAAAAACTTAGAAATTTTAGTAGCTTAAGCAATTCTGTTCTATCCAATAGATGCAAACCATGCCAGGGTCAAAATGCTAGTGACCCCGTGCATTTGGATCATGGCTCCTGGATTTGCTGAGGGACGCACACACCTCTGGGTCATCTGTAAAGTTCTAATGTTTTCAAGGGTGCTGCTGGCCAAACTTGAATACAGCAGATAATAAGGTCTCTCCACATTTGGCTTAATAATGGATTCCACCATAGAAAACAGTATCTTTATTTTCTCCCCTTTTATTTATGGAAAACTGTCCTTGGGTAGCTATTTAAAAAATCACCTGTAGAAAACACAAGTCATTTTGTTAATGATCAGCCTTCACCAAATGGCACCCATTTTCATAATGAGAAAATATCCATGTACCTAAAGTTAGCTAATTAATTAGCTAATACAACCAAAATAAATGAAAAGAGCTACAGACAATGGAGATACTGAGCTGTTAGAATGAACACATCCGAGACCAAAATAATTTATCTCTGTGTCTCCAGGACGAGTGGGTACTCAGTAAATGTTTGTGGAATTGATTTAAATTCCACCTTTTGAGAGACACTGAACCAGCAAAGCACTTTCCCCCTAAATTAGTTCTTTTCTAAAGCATATAAGGAAGCTCCTTCCCCCCTTCCGATCCTTGAACGCATTCCCCTTACTCCTTTTAGGGGACCACCAATAGGGGTCTTAAAAAGCATTCTCCCACTTCATTTTAAAAACAAGGGCACACATATTTGCCATGCAAATAATGCCTAGGACTTGAGCCCTACTAGAAATGTTTGGCTGGGCCTCTCTGACCAGTAAAAGATACATCATAGAGCATTTAACAAATTCAGCCGTGAAAAGTTTGAGCACAATACATTTTTCAATAAACAAGCTTATGACGGGAGCGAAATAAATATGTGGTAGGATCTTTTCAAAGCGTCAAGTCTTTTAGGATAGCAGGAAATTCCAATTTCTTGAATGAACTTCCAAATCCACCAGATGCCGTGTGGAACGTGGACAGGTCTGAAGGCCCTGGGCACAGGGGTCCCTTTTCGGGGAGAAGACGAGCCGGCCACCCGCCTCTTCCATGCAGATTCCCTCCTGCACCCCTAGTTGCCGGGTGCTCTCATGCAGGGGCAGACAGAGCACTTTATCTTCTTAATGGGGTGTTAGTTCTGATCCCGGAGCCAGACTAGAGTCATTGATAAAACATTCCTGTTCTACCAATAAATATTGTTCTAGGAGTCAGTCGTGGAGACATTCACTTATCAAGCGGGTTTTATAGTTACTGAGAAACCTTTCCTTTCTGCTTTAAGGAAAGGGTAATTCCTCCATCTGAGATGCCCTTTCCCCGGTGCCATCTGTCGTCCGCCCACCTTCCTTTCAGAACTCACTTCCTTCGAGAAGACTCTTCTGAACCAGGTGGAGGTGACCACACCCTTCTGTGCACTCCCACTGAGCCCTGAGCTGACTGTTTTGAGAAGCTGAAGTCTTTAGAGCTTCCACCTCCCAACTGAGAAAATGAAAATTAATTTCTATTTAATTATAACTCAACAAACATCAATCAAGTACTGTTGCACCAATCATAGTGCTCAGGAGCCCCACACCTCTGTGCCTCTGGAGTCTCCTGGCAACAAGGGGAAGAGTGATTTCGGTGCCAGGTTTGCTTTCAGGTCTCCTGCTGAGGTCTCCCACAACAGGAGCATTTATAATAAAGTCTGAAGTGCTGAAGGTCACTCCCATGTCACACTGACGTGCTCTCAGACTTCACACAATGCTCAGTGTTAACATGTTCCATCCCCATGAATGCATTTGATCCTGGGGAACAAACTGGTGGATTCTTGCTTTACAGACAAGTCAACAGAGGCTAAGAGAGCAGAAATGCCTCTCCCACCCTTGACATACTAATGCAGGAAATGATATAGGCTAGAGGATATGAGCCCACTGACGCTCAGGAGGGGCCTCCTCAATGTCCAGCCTTTCCTCCAGGGCAGAAGCCCTAGCTGAGCTGAGGAGCTAATCCCATATTCAAGTCCCTTTGAGTATTTCAAGAGAAAAATACCCACATAACACTCTGCATATAAAGGTGTGAGTCAGTCAAAATTCAAAGCAGATCTAGGTTAACTTCTCCAGATTTGGTGATTGACCCCCCCTTCCCCCCACCCTCTGCCCCAGAGAATAAGTCCATTGTCTCCTGGCATCCATCAGGTTTGTTGTACAGCTGGTCTAGTTAGCTAAAAATCTGTCTCCAAGTTTCTTGAGGGACCTAATCAGCTGGATGTCTTACATAGTCAGGAGTGCTCCAGAAATCGTATGTAACACCGTCAGACGATATTGTTTTAGGACTTGGAGTTAGTCCTTGGAGCATGTTGAGACACATTTGACCAGGAGCTATCTAGTGATATTGACTTAAGTTCTGAGTAGAGTCTGTCTTGGTCTTTATAGTGTCTTCTGGGTAAAGGTAACACCCCAAACATAATAGGTGCTCAAGAAAACTGTGGCAAATAAACACTATTGTATTTCTGATATGGAACTCACACTTGTTTGTTTTTACATGTGCGTACACAAAGGGAAAGGTAGTTTTTTTTATTTGCCATAGATAACATCATGAAAAAGCATTTCTTTTTTTGAGAACATTCATGAAAAATACCAGCTTCTTTCCTTCTTTTTAGGCAAGACATGAAACTGTGTACTTGGGGAAAGTGATTAAGGACTTCTCCTCTGAAAGGTTTACACTGTTTTCCAGGGCTTTGGGTTGTATTCAAGGCTCCTGAACTGAAGCGAATGCTTCATAATCAAACTGAAGAACTGAGGCCACTGGTGACAACTGTCCCATAGGAAGGCGTGGAAATGTTTTGAGTAGATCATCTGTTCATTTGGTGACCAGTTTCTGACATTTAGATACCACCCTTCCAAGCAACCATGATAATACATCTGCTTTTTTCTGCCTTTTTCCAATTTGTATTCTCATCAGTAAGGTGTATAAAGTGTGGGCTTTTGGGCCCTGAGTTTCATAGCTAAACCGCTGTCTCTGTGGAATGCCTCACAAAAATCCCTGCCTATATTACATATGAATAAAGGAAATTAGGAAGTAGGAGGAGAGGACTTCACACAACCACATCTGCCTTGCCCCTATAGCAAGAAGGCTCCAAAGAAGGTTTTATCTTCTTTTGTGTAATCCACCAAAGAGATGTCACTGACGTTCACCATCAGCTTGTCCCCTTCTTGCAAGGAGAACATGGCCCCTAGATAAATGGATTGGAACCAGTTGCTGCCAATTTCACACACTGTCTTGGTCCCCATTAGGAGCTGAGTGGGCTCCGGGTAGCTGTCTGTTACCTTGGTGATGACCACGATGATGACGTCTGGCTTTTTCAGTTGGGTCCCTTGGCTGATTTCACCACACTTGGATATGGTACCTCGGAATGTGATCTGGGAGTAAACGAAGTAGTCTCCCGGCTCTGGGATCACCAGGAATTTATTGGTGTAGTTCATCCGGTTCTTGGTGAAGGCCAAGCCAAGTTCATGTTCCCAATCCAGAGCCGGGAACTGATTTTTCAAGGGCTGTGTTGGCATTTGTTTCACAACTACAAAGACAAGACAGAGGTTTAATTTGCTCGTGTTGGAACCTGTGGACTTTGCAAAAAGTGTCTCACTATTATTACTATTTTAAAATTTATTTTATTGTTATCAGTATTACAGATGTCCCCCGTTTTCCCCTTTTGCCCCCCTCTACCCACCTCCGCCTTCCCTCTGAGATGCATCAGTCTGTTCCACACATTCATGTCTCTGGGCCTATTTTGTTCAACAGTTTAGTTTTTCATTAGACTCCACATATGAGTGAGATCATGTGACACTTATTTTCCTAGGGCTGGCTTACTTCGTGTCTCGTTTCTCTTAGAGAGTAAAGTGATTGAACAAAACCAACAGCTAGCAAGCTGCTCGAGGAGGAAAGAGTGGAGGACACGTGCGTGGACACTAGTTCAGAGAGTAGCATCTTAGGCCGGTGACCTGGGCAAATTCCTTTGCCTGAGTTTTCTTACCTGACTGTTTTAAACTTTACCTGGCTCCTGTGATCCTGGAAAACAGTGAAGGATCCTGGGAATCAGCTTACTGCAAAACCCCACTTTCCCCCAATGACTTAGATAAGAAGGTGGAGGCCCACATTGTTTCCCTAGGGCAGGGCCAGACAGAACACCCTCCAAATTCCCATTTTTTGCCTCATAAATGACCAGTGTTTTATTCCCCACTGATTCATCGGAACAAAACGCCTGTTAACGGAACTTTAATTAAGCTTCTCTCCTTCTCCCAGGCCCCTGAACTTGGGCACACCCTCAGCCTGGGTCAGGGTGCAGTTCTCCTGTCAGGGCAGCCTTCCTTCCCGCTCCCTACACCTGCTTCTTTCTAGCTTTGTTCACTCCTCTCTGTGAAAGAAAAGCCCTTTTAGCCTAACTCTGGAGACACCTGCAGACTTTATGGTCAGAGCACCTCCCTATTGCAGTAGTCGTCCCCCCCCCCC